GGGTGCTAAAACTGTTGGACTCAGATCAGATGCAGGCAAGAGCAGGGCTTTCGATGGAAATTTTAAACAAGTGGGATCAAGGTCCCAAAGCATTTCTTTGAACAGCTACAGCAGGAGATGAAGCGTGTCTTTATCAGTATGATCCTGAAGACAAAACATAATCAAAGCCACAGTGACCAAGAGATGTAAGTGGTCCAATAAAAAAAAAGTCGACTGATCCGTAAAGGCCATAGCAACAAGCTTGTCTGTTTTTGTTGTTGTTGTTGGTGTGTGTGTGTGTGTGTATGTGTGTATGTGTGTTGCGGGGGTGGGGGGCAGGGGGGGGGGAGAAGGGGGAGGAGTGGAGTGGGGTTGGGATGCTCAAGACATTGTGGTTGTTGACTTTCTGCATGGCCAAAGAATGATCTGCTTATTATAAGAAGGTTTGAGAAATGTATCCAATGCTTTAGCAGAAAAATGCCTAAGAAAGCATCACCGGATAGTCCGTCTCAACCACAATGGTCCTGCTCATTCTTCTCCTCAAATAAGGGCAATTTTGCAAGAGCTCCAGTGGAAAATCATTAGGTTTCCAATCTTACAGCCCTGATTTGGCTACTTTTGGCTTTTATATATTGTTTCCCATTGAAAAAATATTTAAAGGGTACCTCGTTTCTTCAGTCAATAAAAATGTTTACATGGCATGGTGAAATTCACAGTACCTTTGATTCTTTAAGGATGACTTGTATCATCACTTACAAAACTCTCTTGGTCTTAATGGAGCTTTTGTTGAGAAGTTTTGATTTTTATCTTTAAATTCCATTTTTACACAGATTTAAAAAATCATCTTGTATAGTGGTAAAGTGTTGCTACACAATCATGGAAAGTTTTACTGAACAAAAACCACAGCGTGAAGCTATTGTTTCTTGATATATCTTCTATAAATTTCTAGAGAAAGCTTTCCCTCTCTCTAACAAATCCCTGAATAATTCTGCATGCTTTGATCAGCACCGTGTCAAAACAGTAGTTTTGGCATTCTCGAGGGACTCAAACTCATGCCTTTGTCACATTTGGAGTTCAGGGAACAAAAGAAGGGTGCAGAGGCAGGATGAGTTCGATAGGACGAGCAGGGTAATGTTTGTCAACAACATTCTCATGCGACAGCCCTTGCTGGCCTTGAAGAATGAGCAGATAGATGCATTGTAGTAATTGAAAAAATCTTCCTTCAGTACAACTTCCCGACCCTTTCCCTCCTCACTTCAGCTTTCCCTTTTCTCAAAGCTTCTTCATAATAAGCCCTGTGACCATCCGTTGCCCTTCAAGAGAATCTATGAAGATTACCCCAACGCAATGAATCCCCCCTAAGCCAATCACCCTAACCTCTGGGGCCGACGTTTCTCCCGTAATTTAACTTGTCCAGCAGGTCCCCTTGGATACCACTGGCTTGATGGAACCCTTTTTATTTTTGAAGGCACCCAAACAAAACATGTGCAGGCATGAACCGGAAATCTAGCAGCAATACTTTTTGACTTAATCTTGTACTGGTGTATTTAGTACAAGTTTGAAAGGGTCTGAAGGCCTTTGGATTTGCTTAAAAATGAGATTTTCCATAATATGCACAGACCAATTCAGAAAAATGATAAAGCCGATATGTGAAAGATTAAACACTCTTATCCCTTACACCCAGCAAAAGAAGGCACAGAACAGCCTTGTGCTTGTCTCTGTTTACAAAGACTGGAGAGTTGTTCAATCTCTGAATGCATGGTATCGCTCTGTGCACAGATCCATGACACTAATGGGTGTGTACTCGCTGCAGCTTCTGCTCTGGCCCTTGGGGAGGTTTTATATGCACACTGAAGGCCCTCGCTCAGCTCCTCTGTTTGGTCTTTGCCATCCATGATGATGAAAAGAGTGGGAACAACCTATGAAAATGTTGCTCGACTAATGCTTTCAGAGGATTATAAAGTGTAGAAAGCAGTATATTTCCATCATCCAGTGGCACCTATCCCATTTTGAACGCAGAATCGTATTGGTTGGGTTTACTTTCTTTTAATTTGGTTACATGATGCTGAAACAAAATTGCTTCCTGCAGCAAAGCAAACTGCATCTTATTAGCCTTTCCACTAAGGCCAATATATGCAAATCCAGTATTATTAACTAAATAATTGAAGTGACCTTAGCATTATGTATGGAAATAATTTGGCACTGAGGTATTGGAAAAAATATTCGGGCCTGAAATACTCCTTTGTTGCGCAGTCCTCTGTCATATTGAAAACTGGAGAGATACAGTGCACTTTTCACATGACCTCTGCGTAGCTTCCCAGAGAGAGGTGGTGATGGTGAAGTGCTCTCCCCCAGTTTAGTCTTGGTGTAGCCCAACTCTTTCCTTCCCAATCTCTCTGCCTTCCTGGGCGTTTGAGGAAAGTTAAGATGCGTCAGCCTGCTTCTAAGTAGTTACTTACCGTACTTCAAGAACAACAAAATCAGAGTCTAGAGAATTAAAAGTTTTTCTCCAGGAAAACCTTTATTTAGGTAGATGATCTTTTGCTGCATCATATCCAGCTTTTTCATATTCAGATACTGGTAAAATCAGGCCATTGTCTAAGATGTATGCAGGGACTTCAAAAAAGTTCATGGGAAAAAATCTATTACCTTTTAGTTCCGTTTTCCCCACAAACTTTTTGAAGCCTCCTCATATTTGGTAAATATATGGGCTATCCTGTTAACAGAACCTCGAAGTGCCCCACTTGACTAACACAGAAAATACACATGAATGAGGAATTAAAATGATTTTTCTGCTGTCTGACAGAAAATTCAGATTCTAGCTCCCCTGTTGCTTTTCTTAGAAGTAGATTGATCCAAAAGAGAAAGAAAGGGAGAAAGAACAGCCGGAGCATTAGCTGCGTCCTCAATGGCGATGTGGAATCGAGCTGAAATATGTGGATTTGGAGGCAATGAGGAGGATACCCCACACCATAATAATTACAAAAGCTGGAAAAGCTGATGTGAAAAAGATAAAATAGCTTTTGGTACCAAATCCAGAGGAACAGCTTCCACTGCAGAGATGTAATTTTAAATCTAGTTTTGTAAAAATAAACCAAACCAAGACAAAAACCCACAACTGCAAAGAAAACACATTTTTGTAAAGGTTTTCCAATATTGATGGATGGTTGTGGGCAGCCTTTTAGAATTTCCTTTCAATTGGCGATTTTGGAGATTTATGTCTGAAGCTTTACTGTCTGTCTTGTGAGCTGGTCTGATTTTACTAGGAGGAGCTGACCGGAAATACGTCCCAGGGCCTTCAATTGGACTGGCTCAGCCCAGCGAGGTCTCAAAAGAGGCCAGAAGAAAGGACCCAGTCCCTGTGACTGATGTGTAGACTTGCTTGTGTGCATGTCTATACGAAGCAGCACCACAAAAAAGGCCCACTTTTTGCTTTGCTCTACTGAAATAGCTAAGGCATTTATAGAGCCAGGAGGCCCTCATCATGGTCATACAGGTTAATACTTTAAAAGGCAGACAATGCCACCGTCATGAATTAGAACCATTCACAGATCCATGAGTTAACTGGTCAAAATCAACTCCAGTTTTTGTCTACTGCATGTCTGGATTGTTTATACCCAATAGGGAGAATTAATAACCTGCAGAATGACAACGACCCTTACTCTTACCTATGGGGTGGCAACTTAATAAGAAAACCCCCTGAATGACATTTACACACCATATTTCATCTAGTGATCTTTTCATTTCAAATCCTTCATACATCACCACCATACTCTTGAGAGACCTAAATTGGCTCCCACCTTGAACATGTACAAACTTGAACATCAGCAAGAGTTCACAATACTGGTAAATCACTCATTCGTTTTCCAGGCCATGGTGTCAATGAAGCCTGTTCACAGAGCTCAAATTAAGGGAGGGAGAAAGGAAGATGCGCTCCTACAACACGTTACGTCTCCTTCGATTCACGCCAACAGTTCACGACTGAACACGAGCGAGGAACTAGCGTGCACTGCTCTTTACGGACGGAGGTGCTGCTGTCAAGTTGACTCAGACTTGCAGGGGCTGCCCGGGGTTCCCGAGGCTGTAAACCCTGGAGAACAACTGGTGGGTGTGAAATGACCTTGCGGTTAGTAGTGCAATGCTTCCCTCACGGTGCCGCTAGCGTGGAGTGGCACAGCCTTCCTTTACGGGCTGGCTCTTGACAAGGCCTCCTTTAGGCATGCTTGCTGTCTGTCTGTTGCAGAGAGCTACCGTGGAATGGCAGAGTACATGTGAGCACACGATGCCAAAAGACCCGATTTCCATTGTTAAGGAAGACAGGCACAGACCACCCAGACGTGACGACCTGGTGCCTGTTGCTATGAAGAAGAGCAAGGTCAGGGGCAGACTGACGTGCTCACAGGGCGCCAGGTTTGCAGTGTGCGTCCTATCTGCAGAAGGCGAGGTCCCAGAACAGGACAGTAAAAAAGAAAAACCAGGTATCAGAAACGAGTGAAGTGGCCCAGGTGGCAGCTGAGCTTCAGGTGTCTCCAAAGGAAGCAACCCAAACATGCAAAAGCCTCTGGTTTTTTTGGAGTGCAGTACTGCCAAAATTCCTACTTAACAACAAAAACAGCCTGAAATCCAGGCTTTTCCGTAAATTTCCCTCATTTTTGAATGCTAGCCATTAATAGAAATAAATACAGCTGGGGAGATGGGAGCGGGACAAACAGAAGCAGGTTGGTAGCTTAGAAATCCATTTGGTTTCCACCTCAGTGAAGAGTACGTGAGTAATGAAAGGGATTTGCTTGTGACCAAATCCGTAGAAAGGTAAGACGAACGAAAGTGTTGAATCTAGTTGCTGCCTGGAAATGCGGGTGTGCTGGACTCCATTCCTCCTCAGCAGAAACTACGCGGAATGCCGTGAGAAATATAAGAGACTCAACAGACACTTTGGAAAAATACCTTCTGAAATAGTTCATTTAAAGGATCTATTCAGGATTTATTCATTATTATTTTCCAAGTAAAACAGGTCATCTTACCTGCACTCTCTTGAGAACTTTGTGCTTGTCAGTGCTTGCTATTTGATAGACTTTTGCCATAACTATTGTTTTTCCCAAAGGCCCGCATGCTGTCTCCAGTTTCTGGGTGCAATCTTACATTCGGGATGGTAAAAATAGAAGACACTGTGAACATGACAGAAAGGTTTCATTTACATATTTATAGGTCAATCTTTAATCTTTTCTTTAAAAAATGCAAATAACCATGAGATTCTGAATGTCCACCATCAATCATTATGGCATTTGTTGTTGGTCTTTGAAAGAGCTCGAGGTCACAAGCACAGCTACAAGCACTTTACACATACACACTCTACACATACACACTCGTACGACAGAATAACCTGCTTTCCCCTCAGAAGCACATCGTCGTTGGTGCTCGCTGTTCTCTGGTCTAGAACTAGTGACTCCGATTTAGAGACAGACACTGCACACTCTTCGTGTCATGCCAGCCCTTCACCCACTGGAGACAAAGTTACTGAGCCCCTCATGGTGCGAGGTATTGCGGCATACGGCAGTGAACAGACCAGCGTGAAAAGAGATCTCTGTCCTCATGGATTCCAGTTGGGGAGAGAGACAACACATAGCCAAGCATAATGTATAACATATCACACAGTAAGTGTGACAAGGAAAAATAAATCGGGGAAGAGAACCAAAATGCTGGAGTGAAAACAGGTCACAGCAGGAAGGCTTTCCATGGACCCAACACTGGGTGCGAGGAGGAGCAAGTACCTTGTTTTCCCGGAAATAAGACAGTGTCTTACATTAATTTTTGCTCCCAAAGATGCGCTAGGTCTTATTTTCAGGCGATGTCTTACTTTTCCATGAAGAAGAATACGCTACACATTTCTTGTTTTATTAAAAGAGACCTCGCACTTCCTGTCTGCTCTGGCTGCTGCGCTGTGGCCAACAGTGAGCTGCATGGTGGAGCCCGCTGCTACGGTCCAGAGTCCAGAGTTACGGTAGCTTTGGGAGGCCCTATTTTTGGGGGGAATGCCTTATATTTCAGCAAGAAGCAAAACTGTAAGTAGGTCTTATTTTCGGGGGATGTCTTACTTTCGGGGAAACAGGGTACCAAATGTAGCATGAAGCAAGAGCTGACTCTCGGGAGGCCAGAACCGGAAGCAGCAAATGAACTAGGAGACTTCTGGAAAAAGAGGAGGAAGAAGATGGTGAGCGAGGGCAGTAGGATCAGTGAGAAGGGATGTGATTATGGATGCACTTAGAAGTTGGCACCAACTGGGTTTGGGGATGAATGGGATACGGAACGCCACTAAACAAGGACAGGCAGGGCTAACTCCAGGGTCTTTTACTTCATCAGTCGGAGGAAAGGTCTGGTCCTTTATTGACAAGAGAAAGGCTACAAGAAGCATCCACTCTGAGGGGAAGATTAGGATTCAGCCTTGGTCATTTTGAAAGCCCTGTTCGGTCGCCAACGGAGGGTTGAGCAGTTAGCTGGAGATGCAAGTCGGGAAAGGCGAGTCAGGGAAGATCAGGCTGAGGATATAAATTTGGAGACTGCCACCGGTGTGTAGGTGATATTTAAAACTGGATGAGATTGCATAGGCTCCAGGGAATGTCTGCAGACAGAAGGATCTGGACCTTAAGCCTCAGGGCACTCCAACAGCGAGATGAAATGAGCAAAGGATACTAAGAGAGGGGTGTCTGGGGAGGCAGGAGGGCAACCCCGAGGGAATGGTGTCCCTGAAACCAAGTGAACGCAGGGTGACAGAGCTCAGGAGCGGTCACTTGTGTTGGACTCTGCTGATGGGTCAGGATGAGTGTTTGGAAAACCCTGCTGGAGAGAAGGGCGTAGAGGTCACTGGAAAGAAACGCTGACGACAGCCGTTCTGGAGGACTGGAGACAGACGTCTGGTTGGAAAGGGGCCCACGGGAGGATGGCCCGTTAGGAATCAGCGGAAGCAAAAACAACTAAAGTGAGTGTGCTTTGTTTTATTTTACAGTGATGGTACTGCCTTACATGCATGGCATAATCTTGTTTTAGGATGATATAGAACACATAAAGCCCAGAGCATGTAGAAAACATTAGAGTGGGAAGGGTCTTCAGCGCTTAATGTGACTATCTCTCCGGTTTTCTAAATGAGAAAGCTGAAGCTGGGAGAGACGACGGGGTGAGTTCCAGGCTGCCTGGCTGCTTGTGGGGTGGAGGCTGGCATCCAGGCGGTCCGATTCCCTGTTCGGGCTCTTTCCACTGGACCAATTTGTTGGCCTCCTTTCACTGCAGATTTGAGGTCTGTGAGTTAGCAAATGAATTTAATAAAACCAAGGACTCTGTGCTATGAAGTGTGTTTTGTTCATTTACTCTGACAAGGGTAGTTCAGCCTCAATTATTTATGTAACTTGATAGTATACACAGGAGAATGCTCTGTGGTGTGTTTGGGAAAAGTAATGAATTTCTTGTAAATCACCCTTTCACTTACTTGCCTGCAATTAAATCTCTGTGAAGCAGCAGGGCAAGGCTGCCGGGGTTTCAGGACACGGGGCGTGTGCTGACAGGGTATCACCAGCATTAGCCAATGTGAACTGCCAGAGCCCCAGATAACTGCATCCCTAGTCCCGCTTCCATGGCACATGAATCCATTCCTTCTATGTTACTCTGCAGACAGTATTTAGAAACTCAGAAAATTAAACTTTATGTTACTGTGGAGTCATTCGAAAGTGCACGGCATGTCGTGAACGCCCTAAGCTGCGCCCTCACATTCCTCCTTTTCAAAGAGCTTTGAAAGGAAGTCCACCTGGGAATAAGTGCTACAGAACCAAATGGAGGGATCATTTTAGCCCCCAAGTAATGGCTTAGATTAGCCAGTTCCAATGGTCATGTATTTTTAAAGAATGTCCTCCAAGGGGGGCTTATGCCAGGTAAAAGGAGACGACTGGGGGCCAAAGTTAAGTTCAACAAGTCTTCTTGGCCTACTTTAATACAGTGGTGTTGTTAAAACATTGATAACACAAAATGCCCTAGTTATTCCACGGATGAGTATAAAATGGAGTTGTAGTACGCTTATGCCTGACTCTCATTTGCTTAGGAAGAACGCCTAAGGAGTCAACATCTCCCTTTATTACGAGTATACGGTTCCTTAAATTTTCATCGGTTTGCAAACAGACAAAAACTCCACACACACAAAACCATCACTGTCCATTTGATTCTGATTCACAGTGATGCGACAGGACAAATGCAGAACTCCTTCAAAGGGTTTCCAGGGCTCTAAGCCTTTACAGAAGCCCACTGTCGCAGCTGCCTCCCTGGGATTGGCTGATGGGGTTTGCATCGCCGACCTTGTGGTTAAGCCACACGCTTCTCCACCATGAGGCAGCTCATGTGCCAAGACTGAGGAGTCCTGGGGGTCTGATGTGAACACTCGGCTTTTCCAAGAGTCCACAATGAATGTGAAATTTAATGGGAAGTTTCTAAATATCATCTGCAGAATGTTGACTTAGAAAATGGAGTCATCAAAACCAGACGATTCACCTAAAGGAACAACCTGGTCCCAAAGTCTCTGAAGTCTGGGACTTCGTTGTTTTGTAAACATGTTTACAAGCACAGCCACCTTGTTCCAAATGGAAATGACTGTAGTATTTAATACTGGGATTGTCCTTTCTGGTGACTGGATTTATGCTTCATAATGACTATCTGCTAGACACAGGGACAGCATTTCTGAAACTCAAAATTGTTACCACAGGCATTTAGCAGGAATCTTGCTTTAAAAATAAAATGATTTTTTTCATCTTTATTCTCCCCCCTTCAAAAGGTTCCACTGCTCCTGATGTTTAACGTTATGCAAAGACGTGTTTCTGCCAAAGAATATCGCCTTATGGCGATGCTTCTGCAAATAGCCTGCTGTGAGCTGATAAAAGGATTAATGCAGCCAAAATTCTTAATCTGTGAAATTACAAATTAAATTCTCATATTAAAAATACCACCCTGAGGTATTTTTTGTGGTTTTAATTCCCCTCTGGTCTTCTGCATACATTGTGCCTGTTAATGACGGGGACAAGCCTGTCTGCGTTGGCAGCCTGCTGCCGAGTGATAATGTGTAGGCATTTACTCACTGATAGAAACTGGATTTAACCACTAGCTGATAAACTAAGTGGCAAGTGGGTAATAAGTCCATATTAACAGAAAAGTACTATGACAGAATTCACAATTCACAGACCTTCAAAATCCTGGCTTAAACCCAGCCGTCGACTCAGATGGGATTGAGCTGTCACCCAGGAGTGACACCAGTCACGGTAAAAGGAGAACAAACCAGACACGTGAGCTCGATGAATCATAACCTAATGAGTCTCTCTGCTTCTTTCACTTTGTTTCCCAGACAGAATAACAGGTAACCAATTCATGACTTTTCGCTCAGAGTGATTTTAACTTCACGTTTTCTCGCTTGAATTGGGGATGATGGTTGTACTGGTCAGTGGGTAAACCGTTACACAGGAAGCAAGGCAGGATATAGAACCAGGCTGGAAATACAGGAGGGGGCATTGTAAAGCTCATGAGAAAATCCCATTCTCTTTGAACTCCAGTTTTCCACCAACTTTTTGAAGCCCCCTTGTATAAAACATTAAAAAGGATCTGCTAAGCAACCAGAGGGGAGGCAGACATTAATATACCTCTCAAACAACAAATAAACTCACTGCCATTGAGTCGATGACGGCGTCTAGTGGCGATATAGGACCGGGTAGGACTGCCCTGTGGGTTTCTTAGACTGTAAATCTTTATGGAAGTAGAATGCCTTATCTCTCTCTTGAAGACCCACTGGTGTTTTGAACTGCTCACCTGGAGGTTAGCAGCCCAATGTGAAACAACTACACCATCAAGGCTCCTATACGCCTATAGCCACTTAAAAGTAAAAACAAAATGGAACTAAGTTTAGGATATTAAAAAACAAAAGATTTAGGGTAGAAACATCTAAGAGGAGATGTTACTTGGGATTCAGCTCCAAAATGAAGGGTGAGTGTCAAGAATTCAATACAGTGAAGTGGGGGGGTGGGGGTGGGGGCGGCGCTGGGGAGTCTAAGAATCAAGACAAAAGTGGTAACTTTATGAATGTACATTGTAAATGATGTATGTCCAAGAATTAACCAACATCACATAAAGACTTGTGCATGTATGTAGTATGTTCACTTTTTAACACAATCAGAAAGGAGTTGGGGAACTATCACTAATCCGTTGTTTGGACAGAATGCATTGATAATGAACAAAAATATTCTTTTTGTAATAGTGCTTGCACAATTTCACAAGAATTCTGTTTCACACTTTGGAAGAAAGATGAGACTCTCCCAGCCCGAAATTCTTGAGCAAACATTTAAAATGTAATTGAACAAGGCTGTGCAAATATGAACACGTTTGTAAAAACAAAACAAAAACCCACCCTGGAATGTGTTTTGTTTTAAAGAGCTTCTAAGACGCGTTGTCTGTGTGAACACCAAGAGATCGGTAGTTAAAATGAATTCCGTGCCTTCAGTTCTTACATGCCAATTCAGTGCATCAGCCAATGGCCAGCTTGGTGACTCAGCACACTGCATAGCAGCCCTTTCTAAGGTCATTGTTACAACCAAGATGGTCTCTGAGAATTAAACAAACGAATCATCCCTCCTCTCTGTACTGCAGCCAGTTCAAAAGGGCCGTATGCGTAAAGCACTGAATATGTAAATCATATTTTCCTTTTCCTTTATGACTGCTCAGATCATTTTTTGGACACACACATAATCAAACACAAAGCACGCAGCTGCAGACTGCAGAGCAGAGATAGCTGGGGGAAAAAAGGTATCCATTTTCTGTTTTCTTCCTGTGTCGGTTAAGTTAGCAAGTGAATGACAGGATTCCATGAAATATATGCATCTCCCCCACCACTCATCCTCCTTTAGACACGCACACTCACACGGTTGCATACTCCCACACGGGTATGGATGTTGGTCATGCAGACACCAACACACTATCTTACACAGGCACGTACAAAGAGGTACGTTACACCAAATGATGTGCCTGCTTTGAATGACTGCAGATTCGTCATACTCACTATCGCTCAGGTCCCATAGCCGAGGGGGCAGGTCACTAAAATACTCGTGGCTCAAGGCTGCCTGGGCTGATAGTCTGTTCTTTGGGGAACACTGTAGGAGCTTGGAGGCCAGGTCTTCTGCATGGTTCACATAACTGAGTCTAAAAACAAAAGCAGAACAGAGAGAAGTCAGACCGAACAAGGAAATGCACTAAATAAATCAAAGGCTCCCCTAATTTGAGGGATTTATTCATTTTTGTTCTCAGCCAGAAACCAACTTACACCAATCAACATCTGAAAGTAATTTTTACAGAATTCTAGGGTATCTGTGAGTCCAAACTGATTTATACTCTTGTCATCCTAGTAGCATCGATTGAAAATGGCTTTAGTATAGGCAAAGGGTTGATATTGGCAGGAAGATAGAAGTAGGTCTAGGGGCAGACAATTTCATAAGACATTTTATCACACAGTTGCAAGAATGTGTTCGTACATCTATGTACTGCATCCAGTATATAGTATACACCTGGATCCCTTTACAGGAAAACTAATAGGAATTAGGAGAGTTAAAAGAAAGCTGTTCTTAAATTCTCTAGTTAATAAAATGACTTATCCTCCAAGAGTCTGAATTTGCTTGCATTGAGTAAGAAATGATCGGAACAAGTGCCCTGTGGAACATGAACGATCACACTGGTAACGCGGAGGCTAACAAAGGCGCATGCTTAAACCATACGGGGCTGAATCAATTCAAGATGACCTTCAATACAGCAGTAGACAGAAAATATGTGTGTTCAGATTACCAGAAAGAGCAGAGAAGTACAGTCTTCTGGGTGGTGTCAGCTTTCACGGAGAGGGGTGGGGGTGGGTGGGAGCGGGGACAAGCAGCCAGCCGGCTGTGCTTTGCATGGAATGTTTCACTGCTCCATTCCATCCAGAAGATTAACACAATAATCACACTGAAAGTATTCCTGGCCATATACATCATGTATGCAGAGCTGCACATGTGTCAGGCACCTTTAATATACACAAACGCTGCAGTTTATGATGTGACCACATGATAACCGTGGAAGCTAAGAACAAGCCACACAAGCTATGACTTGTTCATTTAGTAGAGGAGTGGACATTTAAACCCACCCAGAAAGACGACCCCACAGGAACTTGCAAATGCTGTTTTTACCTCTCTCAGCTCATCTCTAAAGATGTATACCCACTGATTGATCCCTGAGTGTTCACTAGAGGATGGGGGAGAGGCAGTGACTCTCCCTAGCCAGATGTTTAATACTTGGAATAGTTTTTGCCAACCTCTTACTTTCAGTGCTCTGTATCTGTACATTTTTGATGTGTTCCCATAGTCATCATATGCTTTTGTTGTTGCACGCCCAGTTGGTTTCGACTCGTCCTGGTGCCCAGTGACAGAGTGGAACTATCTCCTAATGTTTTCTAGGCTATAATCTTTACAGAGGGAGTCCTGGTGGGACAGTGGTTGAGTATCTGGTTGCTAACCAAAAGGTTAGAGGTTTGAACCCACCAGCTACCCTGTGGGAAAAAACTTAACAGTCTACTTCTGTAAAGAAAAGCAAAAACCACCTCTTACTGTCATCAAGTCAAGGCTAACTCACTGTGACCCTATAGGGCACAGTGCACTTGCCCTTGTGGGTTTCAGAGGCCGTACATCTTGACCAGAGCAGAAAGTATCATCTTTCTCCTAGGGAGTGGTTTGCTCTCCACTTAAGCCCCCGGCATCAGGTCCTCATTGTTTCCCCTCCCTCCCTGCTCCCCCCTCCCTCATGAACCCTTGCTAATTTATAAATTATTATTTTGTCCTATCTTGCCCTGTCCGACGTCTCCCTTCACCCACATTTCTGCTGTCCATCCCCCAGGGAGGAGGTCACATATAGTTCCTTGTAATCAATTCCCTCTTTCCAACCCACTCTCCCTCTACCCTCCCAGTATGGCCACTCACACCACTGGTCCTGAAGGGATCATCTGTCCTGGATTCCCTGTGTTTCCAGTTCCTATCTGTACCAGTGTACATGCTCTGGTCTAGCCAGACTTGAAAGGTAGAATTCGGGTCATGATGGTGGGCGGGGGGAGCATTTAAGAACTAGAGGAAAGTTGTATTTTTCATCATTGTTACATCGCACCCTGACTGGCTTGTCTCCTCCCTGAGACCCCTCTGCAAGGGATCTCCAGTGGCCTACAAATGAGCTTTGGGTCTCCACTCTGCACTCCCCCCATCATTCACTATGGTAAGTAGTTAGGTAATCTTGTGTCAACTTGATAAATAGAGTGAAGGGGTGGAGTCTAGCCTGCCAAACAGGACACAGCCTGATGATGCCTCCTTGTGAGCGTGGTCTTCTCATGAGGATTCTGGAAACTTCCTCTCTTCCTTCCTGGAGGCATGACACACTCTCTCTCTGCTTCACATTCCCATTGACAAGCCACACGGAGCCACGCTGATAGCAGCCAGAGCCCTACAGCTGGAGGAGCCACGTGGAGACCCACGCCAGCACAGAGATGCTTCCACCCCGGCTTTGCACCCACTGGCCTGTGATCTTTCTGCATTTTGCATCAATGCATGTGACTGCATGGGTCTGAAGAGGAATTTATGGGGTAGTATTGGACATATGGGCTAATATCAGACTTATGGCTTGATCTGGACTAGTCTGGGATGTTTTCTCAATATACACTTTCCCTTTGATCTAAAGCTCTCTCTTACACACATCCGAGTGTCTCTGGATTTGTTTCTTTAGTTGACCTGGTCTATAACACGATCGCTATTTAGCTGTGTTTTATTCTAATTTTATCCAATTAACCAATCCTTATTTTCTAAGGAGAACATTTAGTCTGTTTCTGTTTTATAGTATATTTGGAATCAATGCTACCACTATATTTCTTCTTTTCCTGCCTTATTTTGGACATCTTCTATTTTGGAAATTATTTCCATACATTTATGATTTAACCTTGTTTTTCATTTGCATTTCATTACTTCTTTATATATATGATATTTGCTAAATGTAATTTTTTTCAAGTTGGTTAACAATGATGAGCAACATAATTTATAGGGTTGAAATAACATTGCTATATATTTTATCAATTGTGCAATAATGAAATATATCAAATGTCCAAATATTAACTCAAAGACATAAAAAAAAAAATCATTAGAGATCTTCCCAATTAATTACCAGAAACCCAATTCTGTTCTTTTATTGTGTGTGTGTGTGTGTGTGTGTGTGTGTGTGTATATGTGTGAGAGAGAAGTTTAGAAGGAAACCAAATCACACATCAAATAAAAGTAGTTTTTAAACAGCTTCCTATAGATACAGGGAAAAAATTATATAAGGACCTTTGTGATTAATAATTAATAGCAATAGTAACAAAGCATCTCTACCTTTAAAATGTTCTAAAAAATATTTTTCAAAAATTAAAAGATGTCCTTCATGTGTCTTGCAAAGACAGAGGCGATGTCTCATCACAAGCATCGTGTAGCTCTCTTCATCTTTGTTTTAAGCCCTCTTTCATGCAAACTCTACACCAACTGTAGGGTACTTTCTGTCTAGTGTGGAGACATTGAAGACAACCCCACTGAACAATGAAGCTTTCCCATGAACTTCACAACCAGAGGCTTGTGACTTTCAAGATGGAGGTTTTCTAACAGCATAAGTGAGATTCATAACATTAATCATCATAAGACTTGGTCAAAATCCAACACCATCAATGATGTCCCCTGGTATGAATATGGAAGATGCAGCCCTACTTGTGGCAAACTCATATAACCATCCAAAAAATTCACCGCCATCGAGTGAATTTTATGACTCAGCAATTCTGCAGGGCTGAGAGGAACTGCCCCTTTGCCTTTCCCAAGCTGTACATCTTTACAGAAGCAGAGAGCCTCATCTTTTTATAGGCACCTCTGTTTTCAATGTTTGAACTGACTACAGCAATAAGGCAAAGGGTAAAAAACCAAATCATAGTTCCTAAGATTCTTATTCTGCACAATAGGAAATGTATACAAATATCATCTTGGGCATGTTGACACCTAATGTCTAATTTTCTTCTATACTGACAAAACTCTGTCATTGAAATAAGATTTGAAGAAGGCTTATGCTCAAAACTGCATGATCTCAGGAAAGTTGATAAAAAATGATAAGCACATTTTAAATGCTGAACAGCAAGATTCTTTGTGAAGAGTCCAAATGGGTTGATAATAATCTAAATATAAAGGCTGACATTCTGTCAACCTTGTGACTTGGTGAAAATGCTCATCAATACGCCTATGAAGCTTCAATAGACCTATCACTCACCAAGCCTTCAAGTTGGCTGTTGTGCACGATAAAGTATGCCCTGACTCAAATTCCATTTGCAAGGCAAGAAGAAATCAGGCCGCCCAGCCTCATTTACTGCAGTCATTGTTTCTATGGCCACAAGAGTCTTGGAAATGAGCCACCGTTTAGGACAATACTTCAAATACAAAAACTGCTTGTTTTTCAGAACTCCATGCCATTTTCTTCTTGGTCATGAACTTTACTGAAACTTTCGGTTTCTTTCCACCATCATTTAGTGCTCGGGCAAAAGGAAAAGAAACCACCCCAAACGGCGGAACACTTTCAGATCGGCACTATGATAAACAGTCCCATAACAAGTCATCCACAGTCTGGATGGACAAAGGTAAGCTACTATCAAAAGGCAATTCGGAACCTAGATGCCTGTGTCCCCCACCACGAGAACACACAAAGAACAAGGCTAAAATTTGCTTCATAAAGTCTGACTGGTGCGATAGTGCTATTCTCACGTTCCTCTATAAATTGGTCTACACTTGTGTGTTGGATGGGTGGTATGGAATAAAAAATCAGGTATACATGCTTTACACAGGAGCGTGGTGGTTCATTCCAGGCATGTTAATTCAGTTAAAATATGATCAAATTTTGAGAAGATTAAAAGATTTGATCCAGAGCTTCAAAGTGGCTCATTCCAGTTTAACTCCCTGCAGAGATTCTATATCCCCACCCCACATATTTGGAATCAAAACCTATATTTTAACAATCACCTGGATATCTTGTTAAAATGTATGTCTAATTTGAAACTCATCACCCTTATGTTGAGGTTAATTGCTCTTATATTTCTAAATTCATTTGTCTGCATACAGGATGTCTGAAGTTCATTT